CCCCTCTATATGTTGTGTGTTCCCATTCATACAACATGAATAAAAAAAAAATAATAAAAGAAACATTTCTAACACATTTAGGTGTGGCGTTTTTTGTTTTTTTTTGGGGGGGCAGACTGCAAACTATTCTAAACAATTTAAAGTGAAAGTAGAATGGGACGAAGTTTCCTCTCATTGACATACAAAGCGGAACACCAGTCCTGAGATCTTTAACCTTTCTTTGGACAGATTGTCAATTAAGGTAAACATAACTCCACCCAGTGGATTGTGGTGCATCAAACAAGCGATCGGGCGTCTTTACAGACGCTGGACTGCTTGTATGTAAACAGTCATCACTGGCTGTTTCCCGCTCCGCGGGGGCACGAAGGACGTTTACAGACGCCCACCCGCATCCAGAAGGCTCCCGTCCGGCTGTTTCCGAACGTTTGGCGGACGGGAGGTGGTTAAGGCCCCATTCACGCCTGCTAATGGGACAAATCGCATGAATGCCAGACATTCCTGTGAGACTGGTATGATCTGCTGGAGGTGATGTGCAAAACAATGACGGCTGCCACTGCCCACAACTGTTCGCGGCCGTTCGCAAGTATTCGCACATGCTGCGCGATCATGTGATCGGCTCCCATCCGCAGGTGTGACAAGGGCCACTGAATAGCACTGATAGAGGTTGATCTGTAGATGTTCCACTTACCAGCCTGATCCTCATACATTTGGGGTGTGATCAGGAAATACACTATATTGCCAAAAGTATTGGGACAGCCCTCCAAATCATTGGATTCAGGTGTTCCAATCCCCTCCACAGCCACAGGTGTATAACATCACGCCCCTCGGCATGCAGCCGCTTCTACAAACATTTGTGATAGAATGGGTCGCTCTCAGGAGCTCAGTGACTACAAGCGTGGTACCGTGATAGGTTGTCACCTGCGCAATAAGTCCATCCGTGACATTTCCTGGCTACTAAATATTCCGCCGTCACCTGTTACTGGTATTATAACAAAGTGGAAGCAACTGGGAACAACAGCAACTCAGCCAGGAAGTGGTAGGCCATGTCACATGACAGAGCGGGGTCAGTGCATGCTGAAGCGCACATTGCGCAGAAGTCGCCAGCTGTCTGCAGAGTCAATAGCTACAGACCTCCAAACTCCATGCGGCCTTCAGATTGGCACAACAACAGTGCGTAGAGAGCTTCATGGAATGGGTTTCCATGGCCGAGCAGCTGCATCCAAGCCTTACATCACCGAGTGCAATGCAAAGCGTGGGATGCCGTGGTGTAAAGCGCGCCGCCACTGGACTCTAGAGAAGTGGAGACGTGTTCTCTGGAGTGACCAATCACGCTTCTCTGTCTGGCAATCCGATGGACGTGTCTGGGTTCGGCGGTTGCCAGGAGAACGGTACTTGCCTGACTGCATTGTGCCAAGTGTAAAGTTTGGGGGGTTGGGGTTTTTTCTTTCGGGGGTTGGGCTCCGCCCCTTAGTTCCAGTGAAGGGAACACTTAAGGCATCAGCACACCAAGACATTTTGGACAATTTCATGCTCCCAACTTTGGGGGAGGAGTTTGGGGGTGGCCCCTTCCTGTTCCAACATGACTGCGCACCAGTGCACAAAGCAAGGTCCATAAAGACATGGATGGGGGAGTTTGGGGCGGAGGAACCATAAAGAGGACCTGTTCTATGGGGTTGAGTCCTGACCTCAACCCCATAGAACACCTTTGGGATGAATTAGAGCGGAGACTGCGAGCCCCTCCCCCAACATCAGTACCTGACCTCACAAATGGTCCAACATTCCCATAGACACACTCCTAAACCTTGTGTACACCTTCCCAGAAGAGTTGAAGCTGTTATAGCGCAAAGGGCGGAGCCAACCCAATACTGAACCTTATGGGACTAAGACTGGGATGCCATTAAAGTTCATGTGCGTGTAAAGGCGTCCCAATACTTTTGGCAATATAGTGTGTCTCCAGCCTAAGCCCCTTCCCCCCCATCATACAAGGGTCACAATGTAGGGAGACAATCCGTACCTCCTCGGCGTACTGACGCATAGCGGAGCGCACTGCCGTCATGTCTGTAACGTCCATCATCAGAGTCACAGCCTGGCCCTTCCGGATCTTCACCACTCCTTTAAACACTTGCTGGTTGTTGTAACAGGCGGCCAGCGTGGCGACAGCCATCACCTCAACACACAAAACACAGCCAATGGTTATCACGATACAATGTTACAGCGACACACAGTATGTTTCTGGGAATTTGTCTACAACATTTTATCTAATAGGTTTATGCAAATTGTATTACTGCCAAAAGAATTCTAATTCCAGTTCTAATTTGTGTTCTAGGAACCCCTATCAGACAGTATGCCCAGAACAGGGCGGTCCAGGGCAGAGGGAGGCTGGACCTGTGTCTCAGTAAAAGCCAGATCGCTTCTACGATTCGGTAAACGAGCCGTTTTTATTTTTAAAAGCCCCTGCCCCCACGTGTCTTCACGTAAACACGCGTCGGGTGCGCCTACGTATGAAAACGACGATTGCGCTGCACATGTTGGGCACCGCCGCGCACGCTGGAGCGAGAGCAATAATTCTAGGGCCAGTATTTACGCGTATCTCTAAACTCATGACCTGTGGGGGGCTTTTAAAGCGTCGTCTATGGACTTTTTGGGGTACTGAATTCATGTTGGGTATCTATTTACTCGTTGTAACCTCGCCTTTTATATTGTACGGAAAAAAAATGGTTTTAAATTGTGTTTGGGGGGCACTTAATTTAACTTCAGTGCATTTTTCACTACATTTTTGGGTTTGATTATACGTTACGCTAATGTGGTGCAACATAAAAGTTTGCAACTGCCGCCATTTTATTCTGCAGGGTCTTGGTTTTCAGAAAAGATATAATGTTTGGGGGGGTTTTAGGTCATTTATTTTAGGCCTAAAATGTGGATTATAACATGGGTGCAAAAAACAAAAAAAAAGGCCTTGTTCCTTAAGGGGTTAACCCCCCCCCGGTCAGTGGCGTAACAATCGCCATAGCGACCCAGACGGCGGCTATGGGGCCCAGCCGGAGCATCCCTCTGATGCCGTGTGGGCCGCCTGGGTCGCTATGGCATATCAGGGTTCTGGCTGTCACTGACACAGCTCAGCAGCGGCGGTGAAGAAGAACAGCCGCTGAGGAGCGGTGTCAGTGACAGCCAGCAGCTTCTGCCGAAGAGGCCGGCGTTCGCAGTGAAGGAGGAGGCGCGGCCCGGGCTGGTGACCTAAGAGCCAGTGATGTAAGAGGAGGCCCGTCGATAGAAAAGGAGGCGGGGCCCTGCAACCACGGAAGAGGAGGCGGGGCCCTGCAACCACGGAAGCGGACAGCCCTGACAGGTAAGAGGTGTGCAGCCTATCTGAGACCCTGCAGAGCCCACCATAGAGAGTCTATGGTGGGCACAACAGGGTCACTCTCAGGTGGGCTGTTTGGACTCTCAGGTGGGCTGTTTGGTATGTCAGGTGGGCTCTGCAAGGGGCATAACTAGCAATAACGGGGCCCCATAAAATATTTTGCTATGGGGCACTGTGATTTCTAGTTACGCCCCTGACTGCGGCCATCAAGAGGTTAAAGCCCACCTACGACTTGGACAGAAATCCCTTTTCATTGGCTACAGAACCACTAAATACTACCAATTATTTTCTGATACGGGCGCAGCGGTTGATTGGCTCACCAGCGGGACTGCGCAGAATTTGAACGCGATTTGGTTTCGCAGTCGGGACAGGTAAAGCAGGACGTCGGGCGCATGTTGCATGGCGTTGGTGATGAGCTCGTTCAGGCAATGCACGGCCGGCACAATGTTTTCTGGCTTGGCGAGGTCAGACAGCTTCTTCCCGTATCTGCTCCACACCTAGTACAAGCAGAGCCACAGACATCAGCTGCTGGCTGTAGGTCAATCTGGAACCTGTTCCAACCCACAGAGCTCAGACACAGGACTGGTCAGTCTTTCCTTCCGGAGGATTCAAAGCCATGTGATCAGAATTCCGGGGGCCCTTCTCCCGGATTAGGGCCGTTCCGTCTCTGAAAACTTGCAAGCTGGCCAAACCCATGAGATGGAGAGTGAAGGGCGATCAAGATCTGTCACGGCTTACTTTAAAACTCAAATGGTTCTAATGAGACCCTTTCACTGAACGCAGCGTCACCCTCATTTTCTCCAGGCTTCGCAAGTCAGATTTAAATCTCACGACTGTGCTATGCAACCAGAGGAGGTGACACATCTGACATTACAAGGGCCAGTTAGAAAGAATGCAGGGATGTCATAAACCTCAACTAGATGGTCTTCAAAAGACTTCTAATGAGGTCTGTCGTAAAGGGCCCCGTCATAAACCGTCTAGTGAGTTATAAAAGGGCCCCGTCCTAAACCTTCTCGTGGGCTATAAAGGGCCCCGTCCTAAAACGTCTCGCGGGCTATAAAGGGCCCCGTCATAAACCCGTATAGTGGGCTATAAAGGGCCCCGTCATAAACCCGTATAGTGGGCTATAAAGGGCCCCTTCATAAACCATCTTGTGGGCTATAAAGGGCCCCGTCATAAAACGTCTAGCGGGCTATAAAGGGCCCCGGCTTAAAACGTCTAGCGGGCTATAAAGGGCCCCGGCTTAAAACGTCTAGCGGGCTATAAAGGGCGCCCGTCCTAAACCGTCTCGTGGGCTATGAAGGGCCCAGTCCTAAACCTTCTCGTGGGCTATAAAGGGCCCCCGTCATAAACAGTCTGGTGGGCTATAAAGGGTCCCCTCATAAACAGTCTGGTGGGCTATAAAGGGTCCCCTCATAAACAGTCTGGTGGTTAAAGGGCCCCGTCCTAAAACGTCTCGCGGGCTATAAAGGGCCCCGTCATAAACCCGTATAGTGGGCTATAAAGGGCCCCGTCATAAACCCGTATAGTGGGCTATAAAGGGCCCCTTCATAAACCATCTTGTGGGCTATAAAGGGCCCCGTCATAAAACGTCTAGCGGGCTATAAAGGGCCCCGGCTTAAAACGTCTAGCGGGCTATAAAGGGCCCCGGCTTAAAACGTCTAGCGGGCTATAAAGGGCGCCCGTCCTAAACCGTCTCGTGGGCTATGAAGGGCCCAGTCCTAAACCTTCTCGTGGGCTATAAAGGGCCCCCGTCATAAACAGTCTGGTGGGCTATAAAGGGTCCCCTCATAAACAGTCTGGTGGGCTATAAAGGGTCCCCTCATAAACAGTCTGGTGGGCTATAAAGGGCCCCGTCATAAACCGTCTCATGGGCTATAAATAGTCTTTGATATCTGCTTGGAGATTGTATCTGGGCGATGGACATGAAAGCATTTCCATATTCTCAACAAGCAGCGAAGCTTTCCATCACTGACCAGCTGCAGGCACTGTTGCGTAATTCATTCTCAAAGATCACAAAGGAGACTCTGAAGTCAGATTTCAATCAGTAACATACAGGAAATAGCCAATGATGTACTTGGTCACCAATTTCCTGACTCCTCTGCGGTTGGGTTTGGGTTTCCTAGTCCTCCTCTGATAAGAAGGCTGGAGGGCTGCCAAGTCCCTGCGGCCAGAGGAAACGCAGATAGAGGAGCTGCCATTGTATTGCCTCTGATGAATTTCTCCACGGCGCCTACAGCTACAGAGGTCAGCAGGGGCTTGTTTCATAGAATGCTTACTGCTTGCTGAGCATAGGTAAATATCTGAATGTCCGTGTCCTGGCCACATGTTCATCCTAAATACTAACCCCACCCAAAACGACTGAAATTTTACCTACTGACCGCTAGCATTGGGCAGAAGACTGGGACTTGCCTCTTTGGGCCAGAACTCTCGGCCGTCCAGCTGGTCTCCCAGGTAATCACGGATGATGTTGGTCTTCTGCATGAACAGACCCATGGAGTTGGAGAGCCTCGTGTCCTCTCCTACAATGGGGCCCTCCAGCCCTGCGATACCAAACATTACCGACAGGCCCCTCGTCAATGAACTCGAAACATAGTAACAGTACTGTGGTTGAGGGGGGGAAAAAGACGAAAGACCTGAGAGGAAACGTCTGGAGATGTTCATGGATTTCATTTGTATGTTTTTTATTTAAAAAAAAAAAAAATCACATTTTTAAAACTTTATTAAAGATGAACATTTCATAAATCATCACTTTTAGCCTTAAGATGGAAAGCTCCGGGCCGGCCTTTGTATCAACAGCCTTTGTATCCTATTTTATAGCTGCCAGAACCCTCTACTGCCTATGTAAAGCCCCCTTCACGTCTCACACTGTTTGTTCATAGTCCCCCCGCACGTCATGAAAGGAGAACTATGAGGTGGGTGATTTCCACTCACCTCATAGTTCTAGCCGACCTGTGACAATGAGACTGTCACAGGTCGGCTCAGTAGATTGGGAAGTGAGAGAACACATACCGGCGCTCGCTCACTTCTCAATCATCTCCCTGCAGAGAGCCGTGACTGTCACTCACGGCTCCCTGCAGGCAGGCCCGGATTCTCCACAGGGCCACCGAGGCCCGGACTCGGGGCGGCAGGGCGCAGAGGGGCGGCAGCGGTGTCCTTGTGGGGAAGTTGCGGGCGTCGGGCGGTAAGTTGCCCTCTCTACATTTAGTCCTGCTTTGCACAAGCAGGACTAAATGTAGAGTGAGGCAGCCGATTGTTCCTTTACATGTGATTGGGCCTATTGCGGAACCTGGCCTTGGGGCAGCAGGGAGAGTAAATCCGGCCCTGCCTGCAGGGATTTCCCCCCCTCCCCGCCCCGATCCTCCAGCGCTGACTGGCGGAACGGACGGGGGAGGTGGCGGGCACAGCTGGCTCGGCCTCTAGATAGGCAGAGCCAGCTGTCAATCACGCAGCGGGGTGGATCTTGACAGTAATGTCGGGATCGGTCCCGGCTGCGGCGGTCTCAGTATGCCGCGGTATACTGAGCTTTGGGTGACGGGAGGACGCTGGTTTATGTACTCCCTGAGGAGAACTATGGGGAAAAACACTGACCCCATAGTTCTCTTTTAAAGACTTTACAGTTCTCCATCAGGTCCCCCTGTGGTGATTGACAGCAGCAGAGGGCGGGTGCAATAGCTAGTTTGCTATTGGCTGTTGCAAAGTGAAATAGCCAAATAGGAATCTAGCTATGCATTCCTATGGTGTGTTCTTTTTTTTGACAACAGCAGAACCGCCCGGTCAATAGAAAACAGTTGGGCGGAGCTAGCTGTCACTGCGAGCTCCGCACAATCGTTTTCTACTTTTTTTAACTGTTTTTCTATTCTGCTCGGTTCCACAGAGGTACAGGGCAGAACAGCCGAGCCGAATGCCGTTCGGGCATCTATGAGAATAGGCGAACGGCAGCGAGTAGCCTGCCGGAGGTTCGGCTTAGCCGATCCAGATGTCCTTCTGCACTTCGGGTCGGCCGAACATGCTGAGCATGTTTGGCCGACCCGAAGCCGCCCGATGTACGGCTGATTCCAGCCGATATACAGCTGGTATCAGCCTGAAGTGAATAGCCGAACAGCGTTCAGCTCATTTCGCTTGGGGTTGGTTAGGTCACTCGCCTGCCTACGGCAGCTTAGTGATTAGACCCCCCAAGTCATCAACTCCCACAACTCGGCTAATCTAAGATAAGGCCTCAGACCTCACACAGCCCTCAGTACGTAGCATTTCATAGGTGAATGGCTGTGAAACACCGAACAAGCGTCCGCTCTCCGAGTAATTCTCATTGGGTGTAAGATCGAGCGATGAAGAAGAAGAAGATGGGAGTTTGGAAGAAGGAAGCAAATATTGTGAATGTTCTCTGTACTAGAGAGGTCATTTCTCACCTCGTCCCAGTCCTGTACGGACTCCACTTCTTTCTGCAGGAACTCCGCCATCCCCTGTGCCACCCTCCGAATGGCATCGATAATCACCTCCTGGTAGACCACAGCCAAGTTCCTAAACTCTCGAGAGATCTGAGAACAAAATAATAATAATAAGTCTTTAGAAAAAAAACACACCACTCGCCACCAATGGAGGGAGGCGCGGGCACTCGCCACCAATGGAGGGAGGCGCGGGCACTCGCCACCAATGGAGGGAGGCGTGGGCACTCGCCACCAATGACCCATGTAAGGATCACTACATGACCATCAAAGTAAGAGAGGCTGTTCTTGGATGACCAATGTATGGAAGCCCTTCTCTACTGACTACCAATTAGGGCGGCAACAACGAATCGATTATAAACGATGATGAGAATTGTTGGCAACGATTCTCATCATCGATTAGTTGCTTTAGCAGCTTAACCACTTCCGGGCCGCAATACGTCTGCAGTAGCCGTGTTCTTGGTACCGCTTTTAACAGCAGGCTTTTGCTGTTAACGTACAAGCGCTCCGGCGTCTATGCAGCCGCCGGATCGTTTGTAACATGCAGCGCCCTCCCCCACCCGCCCCTGTTTGCTTCCCTGAGCACCTCTGTCCCCATGCGGGTGCCCGGGAGAGGCTATATCCGCAATGATCGGAGAGAGAATCAGCAGCTTCCAGCCGTTCATCTCTCCTCCGATCACTGGACCCAGAAGTGAAGTGTATTACATCACTTCCGGTGTCACTGGGCACAGTCTCCGGCTCTTGGAGCCAGGAGATGAAGGTGGGGAAACAGATCTTTGCTTCCTCAGCTGATTTGGGATCCCTAGGTGACATTAGGGGTTTGAAAGACCCCTGATGTCTCCATAAAGAGGACCTGTCACACCCTATCTGCTATTACATAGGGTGCTTGTTAGTCCTTTATGTGATAGCAATAGGGTTAGTGTAAAAAAACAAAAAAGAGTGTTTAAAAATTAAAGTAACATATAAGAAAAATAAAAAAATGCAAAGTTTTTTTTTTTAAAGTGCCCCGCCATCCACATACACGCGCCAGATGCGCCTACGTGCGAAAACGACAATTGCGCTACACATGTTACATATCGCTGCGAACATCGGAGTGAGAGCAATAATTCTCGGCCCATCAATCACCGTTAGCACTAAACTAATGAGCGGCAAAAGCGTTTATAGTGTTCCCTAGGGGAAATTTTTGGGTGTTGACTTTTTTTGCGGTTTCACGAGCGAACGCAATTTTAAAGCTTGACGTGTTTGGTATCTATTTACCCGTCATTTATATTTGACCAAAAAATTATATTATACCATTATTAGTATTATCAGTATTATATCATGTTTCTGCGCAATAAATTTTAATTTAGATTATTTTTTCCTAAAAATACGGGTTTGATAAACGTTTGCGCAAAAACCGTGCGACAAAAAAAATTGCAACCAGCATTTTTTTTATTCTACAGGGCCTCAGCTTTCCGAACATATATCATTGTTTGGGGGTCTGAAGCTGTTCTCTAGGCAAAAATTCATATTTTATCATCATGTGTGCGCAAATGTAAGAAATTGCTCCGGACGGCAAGTGATTAATAACACCTGCTAGCTCCGATCATGGAAATGCAATCAACACCTTACCCTCCGTGAGGTCTCTGACCCCCATGAAGGTAAATCATAAACAGATTATAGGATTGGAGCAACATTCATCATATTTATCCCCAGATAATTTTTGTACAAGTCCTTCTGATTGGAGAAAGCTGGTCGGATGACCAGCGACACATCTTCAAGAAAAATACAGCAGGTCCAGTTGCCTTGGTTTATTTTTTTACAGATAACTCTTCAGGCTTCATTGCCCCCCATGGGAGTGGCGATACTGACCACCAATGTATGGGAGGGACCCCACTGACCTCCAATGTATGGGAGGGACCACACTGACCTCCAATGTATGGGAGGAACCACGACCTCCAATGTATGGGAGGGACCACACTGACCTCCAATGTGTGTGAGGAACCACACTGACCTCCAATGTGTGTGAGGAACCACAGTGACCACCAATGTATGGGAGGGACCACACTGACCTCCATTGTGTGTGAGGAACCACACTGACCACCAATGTATGGGAGGGACCACACTGACCTCCAATGTATGGGAGGAACCACACTGACCTCCAATGTATGGGAGGAGCCACACTGACCTCCAATGTATGGGAGGAACCACACTGACCTCCAATGTATGGGAGGAACCACACTGACCTCCAATGTATGGGAGGAACCACACTGACCTCCAATGTATGGGAGGAACCACACTGACCTCCAATGTATGGGAGGAACCACACTGACCTCCAATGGATGGCAGGGACCTCACTGGCCACCAATAATTGATCTACTGAAAGGTCCAATAAACATGTTTTGAAACGAAAAATAATTCAATATCCGCAGTTCACATAAACAAGTCCCTAACTTTACTCACTGTTGGGAAGTCCTCCAGCACCTGCCGATCCTTCTTTTTGCTGTCCGTGAAGCTCCAGTCGGCCTGGTACAGGAAGGTGTGGAAGTTTTCCAGAATGGGGATCTTGGTCTCCAGACTGATGGTCGGGTCGTCTTCCACAGTGTCCATAGCTCTCAGAACCAGATAGAAGATACAACACACATTCCTAAGCAGCACAGACAAAGGACAGCTCCTTAAAGTGTATCAAATTCCCCCCAAAAATATATTTTAATTAGGGATGCACCGATATATCGGCCGCCGGAACAGATCGGTCGAAAATGTTTGTGCCGATGCAGTGGCGCATCCATTCTTTCCTCCCCGCTGGGCGCTGCTCTGTGTCCCAGCGGGGAGGAGAAAAACTACGACAGGCAGCCGAACGCTGTGGGAGAAGAGCGCTATGAGCGGCCGGCGTCTCTCCTCCCCGCACCGCTGAGCCTCCTATCCCTTCTTCATGTCGCCCAGAAGAAGGGACCCTGCGTGGCCCCAAAACATTGGCTGTTGACGTATGCGACGTTTTAATAAAAAGTGCTTTGCTTCTTGCACACATCATCGAGTGCTGGTGACTTCTATTACGGACTAATGTTAATATATCGCAGCTTAGCAGTCCCTGGGTGTGGCGGCTGCACTAGTTTTAGTTTTTTAGGCTTTTATTATTTCATTTGGTGATCCAACCAGTAACACACTTCCTGTCTCGGGGTGGCTCCGCTCTATGGAGAAGCAATGAAGCCCCCCTCCCTTGGGCAGCAGCATTGTCACCCTGGGGAGAGGGTAGCATTAGAAGGACTAGCAGATTTGGATGGACTTGGACTAACCGATAAGACCAAGTACTTCCCCTCATGTACTTGCCGATACCAATTACCGATACTTTTTCTTAAAGGGACAGGTGACATTTAAAAACAAACCAATACAGACTAATGATTTTAGGCCAATTTCTTTATGATGATGAAGAACTTTAATTTAAGACGGTTTTAAAACAATAACAACCAATTCATGTTTTCAACCGTGATCGTGTGGGACCGCCCAAGCGGTATTGCGGCGGGAAAACCGTGCGATCTGATTGGCGCGAATGGAGTGCCGTCAGAAAATAATGGCACTTCCAACGCAATCGGCGGTGGTGTGCGATTCCGTGACCGCCCAGCCATCCGCTCAGTTTCGTGCACGATGAC